ACAAACATTTGCTCAGCAACGTGTTTCTCGGAAGAGCCGTAAGTCAGACTTAATAAGAAAGTTTATGCCGGCTTATGCGACTCGAAATCGGCCAAAACGACTGCCACGGCTTCTTGGGAAAGTTTCCTCTTTTTTTGTGAAAGAGAGGTCTTCGCAGTGGTTTTATACTCGGCGATGCATATTAAACGTGTTTTAATTGCGCTTTTTGGAGATTAAAATTGAAATTGTATGTAGATAGACTGATCATTAGCTTTAATTACATATATTAGAATGTTAAATGTAAACTTATACTTGGCCACGCGCATTAAATCCGCATTGCATCTCAAGAGTTATTTTCGAGTAGCGGAGCTTAAATTTCAGCTCGGTATCCGGGACATACGTACATCTTGGCAACGCGGGAGCGAGCATGTTATCGTAGGTTAGCGTTTCTTGCTAATGGGTGTTCGGGACATCGGCCATTCGCATGCGGTAGGTCTACAGTTCGAACTCCTGTTTCTGCGCTGTGCGGCGGCAGGTTAGCTGGAAGTAACCTGGAAGTAGCTGGAAGCTCGATTAGTTGAGTGGAATCTCTTATTGGGCAATCCACACGTTCATCTCAATTTACTCTTTAATATGTCTGGAACAGCAGCTTTTGGTAAGGTTAAGAATTTTGTTTCTCGTACTTGAGTCTCAATGTTAAATGCCGAAAGGTAATGGAATAGCGTTAATGGAAGGATGAAAATATTCATTATTAATGGCAACTCATTTTCGTCAAAATTCAGGGCTCATTATTCCACCGAATTCTGTTTTGTGTCTGTATTCCAAGTCTATTCCGTACAACTCATATTTTATTTCCAATCTTTGCTGTCTATTTTATTAAAAGATGGTTTGGAAGACAAGAATATCTAACAGAGGGGGAAAAATTGTCGAAAACTGAAACAACAATCAATTTTTAAAATACGAATCAATAGAATTAAAAACATCACAACAATGTGAATCCAAAGAACATTTTTCAGAAACTCAAAGATTTTTTTAAAAATAAAGAACACTCTGCTCTTGTTATATTTAATAGTTAGAGATACATGTAAAATTAAATATAATTACAGTTCATATTTAGTACTAGTTGAATAAGCGTCAACGATGTTGTTTTTAATTTTTTTCATGTGTTGAAAATGTCTTTCATACGTTATTCTTTCTTGCATGGCTTTGTTCAACTATATTCTGACATTATCTGGCATTGGACTTACCAATGAATCGTAGTAGCTGATAATGTTACACTTCCCTTGAAAAATTTCTAACAGCCAATAGCCAGCCAATACGGGATACGAACTGATAATATTGCAATTTCAAAATTTTTATCAATTATTTCAAATTATAATTCAAAATAATAAATACGTAAAAAATACTTGGCGATTTGTATATTTGCACAAAATGCACAAAGATGTTATTCTGGCTTATTCTCTTATCCTAACATAAGATCATTCTCAATTAGTTACGAAAATTTTGTCGTAAAATCTTCTACAACATTTGGTTTTCCCCCAGATTTCATTAACACTTCCATATTTTTTTCTCTCCTAATTTTTGAAGAGATGGAAACTCTACCAACTCAATCTTGTTTGTGTTTACTTCTACTTTCTCAATTGCTGTATTAATCGTTTTGTATGCGAACCTATATAAACATAAAAAGATGAATATGTTAGTTAAGAGTAATAAGATCATGTTCTGTCACGTTCATATGAAAATCAATATTTGTACACTTTGGAAGGTAAAACTGAAAAGTCTAACGTAAAAGTAAGAACGTTCATTAATTATCTAACATTACTTACTCCGTATTCACTTGAAATTCTTCAGATTTAATAAGTTCCAAGGCAATACTATTCGTAGGATTTTGCAAATTTATTTTCAAAAATATGGTAAAAAGCCTACGGATAAAAATTAAAATGAAATATGCTGCGCGATTCTCTTGTTCAAATTAACATCACTAATTGACTGGAAGATGTCACCATGAGTGTAACCACCGTCGTGAAAAAAAGTATAGCGTATTGAGTGAAAAATGCCTTTGGGTACTGCAGTTTAATCAACGCCACCTACATAGATCAATTTAGGTAGCGTTGGTTTAATTCTCGGCATACTCAGGAAGAGCAGCGGCAACGCACGCAAAATGACGTTTGGGAAATTTCTTTGGGTGTTTTGGCCTGATTCAAAAATAAATTGTCAGTCCCACTCTCAGGAGACCGAAACGCGTCGAATTACACCTCTCATGTCTCCATTGGCGCACGGGGAGTGGTCTAGCCGTGTGTGACGGACCCCCCTCACAAGCACACTCGAGTCATAAATCCTGTACAGGGTGTGTGTTGGGGAAAATAACAAAGGTGTATATGCGAGACATTACGTACATACCAGACACATCGTAAATGAGCACAGTAAATTAGTTATATTTTCATTGATGAAAATGGGAATATTTTGTATACTACAAACCCGTGATTTTTTTTCAAAATTTGGATGAGGATACATTAGACCGTAATAAGTTATTTGTTCTTTCTTACTCGACTATGTGCACTACCATACACCGCGATATACTCGTGTCTGACGAGTTCGCTTTGGTCGACGTCCAGCTCCACGGCTCCGACCATCACGCTCGGGCCGGTTGAGAGGGGTCGTAATTATCACATGAATTACTTCTATTTTAAATCTCCCTCCCTCATTTAATGACCCATAAATTATAAGGAGGCGACGAAAGAAGTAATTACGTGACATGAAACAAATTTGTTTTTATATATTTACCTAGAGCAGAGTTCTGACTGCCGTCTTTGCACTTGCGACGGGAATCGTGGTGTGAGTACTAAGCTGGAGTAATTTACAGCCAATTTCTTTTCTTTCAGTATTTTAGAGGCAAAATTGCATGTAATATGCTGAAAAATTGCTGGTGAGATTCAATAACCAACGCAATAATTGTTAGTAATAACAAGTGTGTACGTTGGGTAATACTTGCGACATTTTAAAATGAGCCCTTTTACGTTTGCGGGAGCAATTTTGCCAACACTTTCGTCGATATATGGAGATTCTGTTTTAATGACTCCTGATTGACAGATTCCTGTCCTTTACTTGTTCTTAACTCTTTTTTCTCTTGAAATATTTGTAAAAAGTGTTCAAGGAAAGTTTACTCCATCATATTATTTAAGAAAATACTTGAACTTCACTTACAGCTGGCCACTTTCAACCATGAATATACGTATCTTGAATGTACGAGAGCGTTTTTGCTGGTATGTAAGGTCATATATTAACTCAGATATTCCAGTTTTCTAGAGGTTAATTTGCATTTTTAAATTAAATATTTTTTATTGAGAAAGAAAGACGATACATATAGGTACTTGAACCTCTGAGATGGATACGTAAAGGGGAAAAGTAAAGGTGTGATGGTACGTAATACATTTTTAAAATGAACTTCAATGTAAATCTAAAAGCCATATCCGTCAGGAAAAGTAACTTATACAAAAACTTTTGTATTAAATGACATCTCTCATTTACGAGGCCAAGATCTTTATCAGCGAGACTCTCTAATAGTTAGCATTGGCGTGTGCAACAAAAGAAAGTGCACCATCAACATTTTTGAATCTCTCTGGGTTCCTTTTCTATTAAACTTTATTTACGTATCCCATAGATATCTCGTAAATAAATAAAACATACTACAAGGAGAATGAAGTTATCATAGATAATTCCACAAGTGCTTTGGAAATTTTCGCGAAATCCCCGACTCGCGAAGCTAGGATGAATAATGAGTTTCCAAAGCACGTGTGGTACGAGTGTTTAATAGGACCACTCTATGAATTAAGTTATGTCCAATAGAGTTCCAAAATGCGCCAAATATTGAAAATAACTGAAGGCTATGATAAAGTCAAATAGGTTTTATTGGACATCGGCTTAGCGAACGACGTAGCGTATAAGGCATCCTAAGAAAGATAAATCACTATTTATGGTTGGTCAGCAGGGAGAAGGGGTAAGAAAAATCAGATTGAAAAAACAATAGGTTTTTTGTGATGCACCGCTATGATTAGGGCTTTTTGTATGTATAGTTCAACACTTTTGGTTTTAATTTCACGAGTGGAATAGCCAATTTAATAATACATTTAACAAATACAATAATGTTGAACCATTTACAGTGTTGCCAGGTTGTTTGGTGAGCTTCTTTCGCAAAAGTCGTGAATCAATCCCAAAACCGTTAGTTTAAAAAAGGGGATAATCAGGAGTTGATAATATTTATCGAAATAACTAACGAGTTTTACTACATAAGAATACGGGGTCCGTTTAGAAATGTTTAGGGAGCCACGGTGTTCTCTCCCTCCCCCTCTGCACACCCCTGACCAGTCGTCACTACCCTGAAGAAGCCTGCGATATGACAGGCGAAACGTCGGCCTCTCTGCCTAGAACGCGGCGTCACCCGGACAGCGTAGAAGTCATGAACTCCAGCAGCGGGAGCCTACGTGTACAAGCACTATTGATGTTCTGCGCATGTGGAGATGCTCTAATGTGATGTGAAACTTGAAGTGCGCATGCGCAGAAGATCGATAGTGCTTTAACGTTTTAGGGTGATCAAACTCCCTAATAATTACATTACTAAATCAATAATAACAAAACATACAACAATAATAATTAATCAATAACAATAACAATAATATATAATATCACAATAATGATTAGTAAGCAAAAAATAAAAACACACGCAAGCCGCAGTAGCAATTGTGCATCACGTACATTTTTGCTTATTGTCGTCACCATCACTGATGATGGTGAATGATGATAATGGGAATAATAATGATAATCATGTTAATAATAATGGAAATAATAAAAACAACAATCATAACAATAGTAATGAATGGAGTTTTTGCACGGCGAAGCGTTATAGCAATCGACAGCACTTCCCCGTAGTTGGAGTCGCTAGTGCTGTCGATCGCTATTTCGTTTCGCCGTGCCAAAACTCCCTAATATGACGATGGTGCTGATGGTTAAGAATGTGTGCGCAGGGAGCCGCGAGGCGGCGTTCACGTACGCGGCGACGGCGGCGGGCGTGGCGTGGGCGCTGGCGGCGGCGTGCGCGCGGGGCAACGTGTCGTCGTGCGGCTGCGACACGCGTCCGCAGCGCGGCCGGCCGCGGCCCGCGCCGCCCGCCGCCTCCTTCAAGTGGGGCGGCTGCAGCGCCGACGTGCAGTTCGCCGCCGCCTTCACGCGCCGCTTCCTCGACGCCCGCGAGCTGGAGGGCGACGCGCGCTCGCTCATGAACTTGCACAACAACCGCGCCGGCCGAAGGGTAAGTGGCCCTCGCCCTCGCCCCCGACCCCGACCCACTCCTCCTTTTCCCTTTCCTTCTACTCTTCGTTCTTTTCCTTCACCTTTTTCTTCTTTTTGTTCTCATTTTTATCCTCCTTCGAAGGTGTTCTTCTCGTTGGGAGGTGGCGAACGAACGCCTCCTACTTTCGCGATGTAACATGCAATACGGGACTGTTGACGCTCCTGGAACACGAACTAATCTATTAATGTAAAATTGGTCTACCACAGTCGGCGTTGGTCGCCGCCGGATCTCAAGTTCCAGAGGTCGAGGAACTTTGCCACCTTCCGCGATGTAACATGCAATACAATACACTTACGGGACTATTTGTTCGATGATGATCTTTTGGCCATATCGATCATCAGTCGAGGCGTAAGATGGCGCTAGATATCACTTTCCATTGGAGGAGGAACAAAGCTAGTTCCCGTGATATAAAATGCACTTAACTTTCTGCACCAATAGCCTAAGTAGTTGACGTGTTTGCAATCAACATATATTCTCTTCCTCTTAATTTGATGATGCCCATTTTCCTTTTCCTATTCCTCCCCCTCGCTCCCAACCGTATCTTTAACCTTTGCTTCTTCTTCTTCTTCTTTTTCTTCATTTCCTCCTCTTCGTCGTTCTCATTTACCCCTTCACTTTCCCCTCCCTTTCTTGACCTTTGCCTTCTCTTTCTCCTTCTCAGCCTTGTCTTACCTCTTTGATTGCTTTTCCTTCACTTCTCCCTCCTCATTCTTCATTCTTGCACTTTCTTTTCTTTTCGGGCTCTCGGCGTTTAATTTTCTCCTCTATCACTTTCGTTTCTCATATATTTCCTCCTTTTTAATCTTCCGCATATTTGTCATTTCTTCCCTTTTCTTAATTTGCATATTCATCGCTCTCTTCTAAAATAAATATTTTCCTCAGCTAATTCTCTGATGTCATCTAATACGTTTTCATTATTTTGTCTGTCTTTTCTCTTCTCAGCCCTCGTTTCTGTTACACTAACTTATTACTCTTCCACTTTCTCCCTCTTCTGTTTCTATTCTTATCGTACTTTGCAGAGAGAGACTGTAGAGAAACATTCACGGATTTCATTTCTTTCTTGTTTCCAAAATGTGTTTAATTGTCCTTCTAATGTTGAATCTTTCTCGTTAATAGATAAAAAATATAGTTTTTTATTGTAATGATATAATAATTTTTTTTTGAGTTCTAGTCTTATACTCCCTGATACTCTTTTTTCTAAAATGCAAATGCAAAAGCACTAGTGCTTCTCAAAAAAGTTACAAAGGAAAATGAAGGAAATCATCTAGAAAAAACATTGCAAAATAGATGCCTGGAAAGCGTAGAAGATTGCTGAAGATAATTTTACTAAAGAGATTATTTATTTTGAAAAAGTCCTGAAGACTGCTTATGTATGACCTTCAATGTTCTTTTGAATTATAGAAAGAAATATAGTGCTATCGCAGCTGTTTTACTAGAGTTGGAAGGTTCTGTGTCACCTCATTTCTTTATATACACACGTACTTACTCCTCTAGTAAATACTATCGATACTGCTAAATAAAATATGTTCTTCACGTACCTTTACATGTAATTGTGAGATGTTCTAAAGATATGAAGTATAAAGTACTCTACATTTAAAAAAAGAAAAGAAACTGGGTAGCGGAAACTTTCAATCTCTCTTTATTCAATCTTCGTTTGTCATGAAGGTATACGACCTTGTGATAGTCTTTGATAAAATAAAAAAGAATGAATGAAAGTTACTTCAGTATTAAAAACAAAAGATATGCATTGATTCCTTTCTCCTCACTCCATTTTAGAACCCATTATAACACACATTAAATATTTTATTAATTTTCCGTTTCAAAGGATGAATTAAGTCTTGGGTTCTAAGATAAACAATAATGAGGGAGTTCGTGATAAAAAAAACTGATGCTAGGAGTTATATTCACCTCGCCGAGAGCCACGCATGCTCGTATTTTGATGGAAACTGAAGTTTACAGTGCGTAGAGTTCATTGAGAGTGTATATGTCGTAATTGATAGTTGCCCCACGATCTCAATGGTATTTCTATTATTTACCACAACAGTTTACATTTTATGAAAGAAACATTGGGTTTCCGAGCGCTTGCTGCAGTATGTATCTACGACGAAGTGTGTAGAATTGCCTTCCACACATTCTTTTCCACACGCAGAGAACACATGGTTTATTTCCTCATGCTGTGAGTCAGCGAACAAGTATCACGTCGTGTTTTCATTTTTAAGAAAAAGGAGGGCGAATATAAAAACGGAAAACGAACTTCACAAAACATTCGTGCTCTCTGGTACTAACCTAATGTAGTACGCCTTGACCTGCCCGAATCGTTATTGCATTGACTACATTCAAATCAATAGGAGAAAAAAACTCGAACCATAACAAAAGACATGTTTTTTTTATATTTTTTCCCATAGTTTAATACAGCTAATTTTTTCCAGTTCTGAACCAAAAGCTAGTTTACCTTCACTTTATTTTATTACTCACTCAGAAGAAAACTCGCCGATGTTATTTGAAAATCACTCGGTATGGGATAATAAATTTTACCAACATTGAATATTCGTTAGATTATACAAATATCCAAAATGTATCTATGGATATTGACATTCGTATTTGCCCACAATCAGCATCCACACTCAATAGGTGCCTGTATTTTTTGGAAGAAATATTTACATCGCTATTATTATCAGGTACAAATTCACATCTGAACATCAAATGAACTTCCGAAAACATTCGCGCTCTTTGGTACTAATCTATCTAATAATAATGTATCTTTCCCAACACCAAGTATTTGATTTATTAACATGCTTTGCTGAAAGAGTAGGTAGTTTGTGAGAATACTACTGGTTTCTGGTAAAGATAAATCCAACCAATTTTAAGCGTGCAGTTAAATATCATAAGCCATTGTCTTATGGCAGAGGGTGTTTTCATTGTTCTGTTTTACGCGTGACTCCATAAATTATTCACTATTGACAAAGTTAAATTTATGTGCGCATAATATAATCCAAACGTCTGGGGCTACAATAGCGCATATTTTTATTTTCCCTCATTATTATAACTTTTGCAATTTTCGAAAATCGGAGAATCAAAGGTGATTGGACGGAGTGAAAAAACAATTATTTAAAAATTGCGTTCATTTACACAAAATTACTCAAAATCTACTCACGTTTTCAAAAAATGTGTATGATCTTATTCAAAGTTCTACTTATGAAGTACATTTTTTATCACGAAAACGTATGTTATTAAATATTGTAGATGTTGAGAGACGCCGAAAAAGAAATGCCGCCGAAAGTTCTACGAAAATTGCATCTGAACCATTTTTAAAATCCTACTCCAACTCCAGTCCTCCGACAAGGGAAAACAATTAATGAAAACATTTAAGCCACTTTTGAAAAAAAATTTTAAAATGTTGTTGCGAATTCTTATACTCGTAAGTACTCTCAAAAATCAAAATATCCTTTTCAAATTCAAAGAGTCGTGACATCAACCAGATCGATCGATGGACATCAATTTTGATGGAAATCCTACCTACCGTTTAACTAGAGTTGTTTACAGGCAGACGGCCGGATGGACAGACGTTTTGCCATGAGTCAATTTTTCGAGGACTCGCAAAACGTGGATTATGACCACACAGTGTATTAGAGGAAATAATTTACTAAATATAGGAGCAAGAATTGTCCATTTTTAGTGTCAAGGGCCCATAATACTAGTTTTTCTGTCACAAAATCACCGTTTTCTACTGCAGCATTACTATATTTTGACTGTACTACTTATTTACGATGTGAGGAACTAAAATGAAACAAAAGTTGAAAAAAATTATTTTCCTTTTTCACTATTTTATTAGTAACACTTTTCGTTAATCTCGTTATCAACAGGGCTGGGATTATGATGACCAAAAAATTATTTGAAAAGGACCTTATATGAAAATGAAGTGACTTAGAAATGAGAGGAAAATGGCCTATCAAATTACTTAAAATAAGGGAATACTTTTTTTTGACTCAAAAAATTTCATGAATGTGATTATTGAATGAATATTTCAATTTTAAATAAAATGTATTTATATAAAATTATATTTAATATAAAGTCTATATTAGGAGGAAATGTAATCCTTGAATCAGATCTTCCAACCGCCACTTTTGAAAGAACCAAAACGTACTGAAGATTTTAAGTAATTTTGAGAGTTCTTAAAAATCAGAGTCCACTACAATAGGGAATTTCGTCATGAACTGACGATACAATAAAAACTCGGTTTTAGCGTGACATTGTAAATTCATGAAACATTTGCTAACAAAAAACAAGAAATGTAAACAAATTGCGTAAAATGATAAAAATGACGTAAAGGTCCAGAAAACGACGTAAAAGTTCCTGGTCAAAATGTCTGAAAACTTCAAATATGGCCAAAAATGACTCTAAAAATATACATTTCTATCACCTACATGTCGTGAGAAACATTCATTTAAAAGTAGCAACGTCTAGACTGCACCAATGAAAAGATGACACGTCATCAGAATCCGAGCCCTGCTTATTAGTGAAAGGTGTTTCACAATACTGTGCAACCAACCGACTGACCGGCCAAAGATGACTCAGGACGTCAACTGATATCACTGCAATGCCTCTGACCGGAAGGTCCTAGTGTTCGGATGCCGGCTGGATTTTCGACATTAGTTACATTGCTATGTCGAATTCAGACACTGTCTGGAGAGGAATTCTAGCTGGCTGGCTGCTCTGATCAGTAGTCTTCCGTGATTTCTCTGATCGAATCCAGGCGACCGCCGGAGCAGTACCTTTACTAACGGGTAATGGACCGCGCGCGATCTTTCCTTCCTCTTCGTCATCCTATCCTCATCCCTTATTTACACAAATAAACCCCAGCTCACGCAGTGAAAATACGCACTTCACTTATGACTAATGACCTTACCAGTTGACGAGCCTGGAATCAAAATCGTGTGCCGTCGATGGTTGCTGCTAAGCATCAGTCTATTTTTGTTGAATCATAAGGATAGATAAAGCCTCAGTCGTGTTGTCCGCGCCAAGCGTTTGAGGACTTAGTCATTACAGATGGTTCAAAATTGCTTGCGGACCTACAGGATGCGTCAGAAGCAATTTTGCTGGAAGGGTCCGCAAGCAAAGCGGAATAAGTCTTGAATTATCCATGATGTTTCCATTTCTGTAAAAATAAATTTGGAAATAGCCGTCGATTATAAACTATCAAAGAAAGTTTACACAGGCTGTAGGAAGGGTCCGTGGCTGTGAAACACTCTCCTACGATAAAATGAATTGTCCATATAAACAAGCTGAATTATTATCGCCGTACATGGTACGTATGTCACTTTAGACCGTAAGATACGGCACCGACCTAAACGTCTGAGTGAAGACTTTAAAACTCATTGAATTATTTCCTTCCATTTTCCCTCGATTATTGTTAAACCCAATAAACAACGATTATTGTTGAATCCAACCTATTGAGACACCCGTTCACTATTAGAAAATGTAATTATGATGCAGTGCACACTCTCACTAAAAATACTGCACTTTGATGCATGGAATAATCATCGTTTTACGCTGTAGACACGCCATTATTTGCGGCTGTGTCAGAAGTGTGCAATTTACTCGTGGAGGAAGAGATAAGAGTTCACAAGCACTGACCTACTTACGTATTGCACCACAATTACAAAATAGCACGCTTCATACTGCATCTCCCCTGTACTTTCCAACTGTTACAAGCTACTCTTATTGAAACCCTAAACACATAATATCTTTCTGCGGCGTTATCTACCGCTATTATCAAGTCACTTTTCGACTCTACTAGCATCAGTTCTGCCTTGTGCCTTTAATAACGCATTCGCAACTAAATGCGCTAAATGGATGATCGCTTCGTACTACAGTGTTTAAGAAATAATAAGCGATATTCAAATGTAATCCACACTGGTAAGGTCTGTTATTATGATCGTAAGTTGTATCTACCAGACATGAGATAATACACGCACTGCTCAACATCGTAATGCTCGAGGATCAATAATACTTTTTCACAGATAATTTCATACTTTCTCTCGTGGATATAACAGGTATTAGGGACCGTAAACTCTCACGATAACATCGAGTGTGGATACAGTTTTTGAAATGTCAATAACTAGCATAGATTATGTAAATTTTATGTTTCACAACTAAATAATTATTTTCAATTATAATAGCGCAATTCTTATAGGGGCACTTAATGAAGATTGCATCTATACTCGTTTTATTTTAATGGAAATACTTTTAATGTGAAAATAATGTTCACTAATTGTGAAATTGATTTTACGTTAAATGTATGGATTATTTTTTGTGTCAAGTTTTTTTCAAGCCTGACTTCGAAAGCATGCCACGGATATTTCAATAAATGTCTAAGTTGGCCATAGGTGTTGAGTTATCTGACCAAACAATCTCCATTTGAAAGTTTGTTAATCCATGAATGCCCAGCATTCATATTTGATGTCACATATTTCTGGTTACCTCAAATTTGTTTTCTTTGCACAAATGAAAGAATTTTACATCCTAAATGGACATCAACTTTATAAACGAAATACATAAACAAATGTTTGAATTCCTGAACAATATATGTTGATTTAGCCGATGTTTGGGGCTTGATAGTTGGACATCGGGAGAGGCGTTTGCTATTGCGTTTTTTTTACCCGTGCCACGTGGTTGGGGCATAATATTTTGCGAGCAATCTAGAGCGAGTACTGTATTTCAGTCCTACTCTTTTGATATTTTTCGACCTGATGTCAATACTTGTAGGCACTTGTAATAAGGGGATTTTTTTTAAGCGACCCTAATTCGTATGAGATGCGCTCAGCTAATACAATGCTCTAACTGTTTCTTTGATCGCGCCACCTCAGGCGCTGCAATGTGCGCGCGTGCGCGTGTGCGCAGGCGGTGAAGGCGAGCCTGCTGACGGAGTGCAAGTGCCACGGCGTGTCCGGCTCGTGCACCATGCGCACCTGCTGGCGCGCCCTGCCGCCCTTCCGCCAGGTGGGGGACCTGCTGATTTGCGCCGTATGCGCGCGCCGCGGCGGGCAGTGGCGGCGGCGCGGCGGCCGCGGGTCGGCGGCGGCGGGGCCGGCGGGGGCGTGCACCGGCTGGCGCTGCTGGGCCGCGGGGCGGCCGCCCGCGCGCCGCGCCGCTCCGAGCTCGTCTTCCTGCAGGAGTCGCCCAACTACTGCGAGCGGGACGTCGCCGCCGGCTCGCTCGGCACCGTCGGACGCGCCTGCAATCGCACCATACGAGGTGAGCACGCGCAGGGCACGCGCTTTTCGCTTTTCTTTTGCTTGCTTTTTGCTTTTTTCCTTTCCTTTTTCTTTTCTTTTATCCTTTTTTAATATTTTCCTCCTCACTTCATTTTCCTTATTCTTTTTCATTTTCTCTCTTCCCTGTTCTATTTTCTTTTTTTTCCCGATGCGTTTCGAGTTCCGCGCAATGCCAGGGTGCGCATGGCCTCCCCGCCGGCGTATGCCGGTTATGCCAGGGTGGGATAGGCTGCTCATATTCTTCCACGGCGCTCCAGTGCGACTCTTAGGTTAGTTTGCCGATGCAAATAAGTTTGTGTTACTCGGATGCGAACATTTCTAATACATCAAATGTTTCTGACACGCTTTATACGAGTAGATGTCGTTATTAGTAATTCAACTAGTATAAGGGTAGGGTACGGAGCGCAAGAAATTATGCGTAGATCAATACTTCTCCCTCCCCCCATACGTCACATGCAGTTTTTACTTTTTATCAAGCAATAGTTGACGATCAACAAATTAAATGAAATCGTGCACCCTTAATGTTGAAGAAATGTAAATAAATCCACATGGGTACGGGATCGGAGACTGAGAAAAGACTGCCCTGTGAATTACTTCCGTGGAATTCAAGTTATTATATGTGCTATACTTCAAAGGACTATTATGATTTATTTACGAAAATCTACCTAGGTATGTTGAATATGTGCTTAACTGTAAATTATCTTGCATACGTGTCGAGATAATAAACATCCACATAGTTTGGATGTAAAAGCAGACTGTGAAATAGTTGCGCGAAGCACGTAGTTCGACATTTTGTTGGCAATGAGTTCAATCATCATTACACATTTAGTTCACATACCTCGAATATTTTAGTCAAGGTTTGTGTTACTTATTAGAAAAATATTATGACTTCATAAAAGTGTAATGGTAGTTTACGTAAGAAGGGCGCGAAATAGATGATTCACACACGAGTCGAGTTTGACGTCCGAACGTAGCGTGCGGGAATCACCTGGCGTCCGTGTTGCGTATACTATTTTTTAACACGCCGTAAGCGAAATACAATGCGTCCCATACAATAATATAAATTAAATATCACATAACTACAAATACCTTACTTGTACAAACGTAAATGAATTCCGGTCAGTATCGTAACACTATTTGTAAATAATAAATAAAGACGTCGTTAAGATGAGAGACAATTGAGAATCGTTCCAGATGTTTCGCGCAGTTCCGCACATGCTTCGCGAAGTTTCGCATACTGACAAAATTAGCTGTTTCGCACAATCCCGAGAAACCGTGTTTTGCGCACTGCGTAGTAAAAAACATATTACGAAACCAGTGAAGGAATAGGAATGAGTGTGCAAATGAAAGGGTAGGACATCGTAGAGAAATGTATTACTGGGTAATAATTGGAGTATAGGAGTAATATTGAAGTACATCATTCAAACCAAAAATGAAAACACTAATCGGGAAAATTAGTTCTCTACAGGTAATCTGAATTAATATTCTGTTTATCCGTCCTTGTACGATAGTTGCACCCATAATTCTTTGATACATGCACTTGACGAATTAATGGATGCGGGTCACATCAATCTGAAGCATCTCTGGCATCAACTTTGTCCAAAGAATTTGAACGGTGAGGGTTTAAGGATTATTACTCCGCTTGCCTCGGATCCTCAGAAATCTCTAGGCCCTAGATTTGAAAGGAAATTCCTTTTTTGTAAACACTATAGGGTAATTAAAATCTCACATCTTTTATAAAAACGTTGTTCGTACAAAAACATTAAATTTCAACTTATTTCCTATCATTCTTTCTTCATTTAATTTATGAAGATTATATATCATGCGAAGCAGACGTTCACCCTAAACCATTTTGGAATGTTGCATGTGGTTTAATTCAACTACATCGTGATAAATTGAAGTGTCAATGAAAGACACTTGTTTTTTTTATTCCTTAGTATCACTTTTTAATATTTTTTTATTTATTACAATTTGTCTCTTTATTTTGGAGGCGAAATCGTGTCTCTTTAAAATTCAAATGTAGTAAATTCACTATTTTCCTACTGGATTCAAAACCGGTGTCACTCATCAAACCAGTTCGAGAAACCAAAAGTTTCTCGTGTGCCCGTAGCACTCGACTGTTATCGGTAAGAAAAGTTGACCTGTCCGCAGTAGGATATCAGAGAGATGTTTAACATTAGGAAGCACAACATTAGTAATCATTCAGAAGCCGTATGTAGCTCTGCGAGTTCAAGTGGTTTTAACTTCGACTAAAGGGCCTGGTACGTTGTTCACAAAGCACACCAGAACATCATGCATTCACCTGTTTCTCTCACACCTTTGTTTTCTCATCGATCAAACACACATCGTGACTAATCTCAGGTCTTAGTCACACTGACTGCCTTGTGAATTCAATAAAAATCTAATGAATAGATAATGTAGTTCGTAGTTTGTTACGTTTTGGAGTTTCTTGAGAAGTGTTCTCTTGAAAGTTGAAATTGAGTTCTAACTATTAGTAAAGGTAGTGAATCTATTTACAGGAGATTAAATTGACCTAGCGATAACTTATAGAAGAAGTAGTTTGGCGAAAAGATTTAGAGATATTTATTTAACGTCGGAAAACAGTTGAAAACGGTGACGGCAGTGTTGGGAAGGAAGTATTAAATTGAAAGAAATGAAATTGATATTTGGCTCATGCGGCAATCTGTTAATACACTGAATACTATTTTGTCTGTTTTCGATGAGGATGAGATACAGAAGATACTTATGATTAGAGCAAACTATGAGTCGTTCTTTTCCGCATCGCAGTCTGCTTTCAGCGCAGATTACAAATAGCACGTACTGTTGGAGTACCAAAAATGATTTCCCACTTCCTCAACGATCCATTCACAACACTTTTGAGTGGTACGCACGAGACGTTAGAAAACACAATATTCTTCTGAAACCTCACAGGCCTCGCAAACAATATCTGGTACAGAAATTGAACTTTGAGACTTTACCGTATTCCTAACAACAGTGAAGTGCGACCATCCAAGTACTTCATAAAAACACCCCTTCCAGCTCTCTCATTGTCTCTTATTTTATAGATATGAGGCAATTAACATTGGAAATGTACGCAATATTTCCATAATTTTTTATCCAAATTTAGGAAAGATAGTATTGATGCAAAACATTTCGAGATAATCATAAATTTGAAGCATTGAATATATGAAATATTGAATATATGAAATATAGGAACTTAATTTCTTTTGCAGAAGTGGCAGTAGCTTTACGTGTTTCAATAATTCACAAGTGAAATGACATACTCAACTCTCATAAATGAAAAAACGAACTTAACAATAGCCATTCATTCCACAGTGTATGGCACTGATAGATACTAGTCCACTGCTCGCTACGGTTGTTCGTGGGCGACGAAAGTGACCAGTGGAAAGAGCCCTTTCAATTCTCTGCACGAGAAAGGATGGTCAACTTACTAACAAACGAAGAAGGCAGTGCCTTGTAGCAGTGACGTACATTTATTAAGCGCGAATTTAAATTACCTTGTGCCTGCGCAATTTTCTAAAATTAATTGTAATGAGAATGTAATTAATTAAGGAAGCTGTTAACTATTTTAAATTTCTAAAATGTGCAAGTGCCATGTTTCTTCTATTGAGTTACCTGCTTCATACGTGGAATTCAATTCCTTAAGAGACAGACGAATACGGACGTACCTCGAGTATATGATGATCTTTGGTCGAGAATGTGTAACTTCCTGAAGTTTTGACGTCATTCAGCGAAAGTTTGCTGCTGAAGAATATTTTTTCGGTTGATATATGAATTATTAACATGAATTGTTATTTACAATAGATTGCTTACTTTAATATCTAATTTAGTTACCCCAAAATGATTAGTCTGATAGGCAACACTGCGTGACCTTTGCGTATCTCATCGTATTGATTTCGTACTGGAATGTAAAACAAATTATTTTGGCGTTTTTATCACAGCGTGTTACCAACTCACCAAAGTTGGTTCGAGAACTCTGTATTTCTTGTTTTCGTCGGTTTGTTTGCTTTACATAATCGCCTACCTTCTTTTCAATTGTTCTCCTGATAGTAATTTGAAACACCTTGCTCTTCTTTCTGAGTCTATGTGGGTGGGCATCACTTCTCTCCCCTCTCAAAACTTCTGGGGAAACAACTTTCCCCGCCTTTGGATACATGCTCATTAGTTTCAAAGTTCGAGATAATTGAGACTTGATGTGAGGAAAAGTTCACAAGATTACCTTGTATTCGTTATTTACTTTAAGCACTTTTCAGGTTGTAGAAGAGCATGCATACATAATGTACCTGCGTTTCTCTTGTTTAGGAAATGTTAGAAACGTTAAATCTCTTTAATTGGGGCAAGAATTATATTTCTTTTTCAAATGGGAACTGTTTTATGCATTATATCCAGCATATTATTATGCAAATAGATAAATAATGAATTTACTCTTAATAAGATCAATTATTGAACAAAATACTGTTGACTGTTTAATTTTCGCTTTTTTGACTCAATGCAGGCATGAAAAATTAGCAAGTAAGAAAAGCCAAGATAATCAATTGATATTTTTTATTGCGACTGCGTCAATGACATGGAGATTTTTCTTAAAAATCTTTTATTGTATTTATGTCTTATATTAATATCATTTATTATCTTAAGTGCCCCCAAGCGATACCGTACTGTGAAGCGCCTTATACGTAATGATAATGAGTCTACATTCACCTTTGCTATTTAAAACATTCTTATCAATGTATTTTAAATATAGGTAAAATAAAATAAATTTTATCAAGGGCATTTAACGGGGGCATTAAGGCGGTACATACTGTACATGTGTATTAATCCACCATAGCTGTTGACTAACGCTCTCTTTCCCTGTCACCAGGTCCCGGAGGCTGCGACCTTCTCTGCTGTGGCCGCGGCTACAACACGCACCAGCTATCACGCGCGTGGCAGTGCCGCTGCAAGTTCCACTGGTGCTGCCGCGTGACATGCGACACGTGTCACGAGCGAGTCGAGCAATACACGTGCAAGTGAAAGCACCCGCCCCCGGCCTCGAACTGCCTACCGCGCCCCTTCCTTCGACTTCCCCGTGTTTCAAGAGTGTGACCCGTATTTATTTCGCTTTCGACGCCGGTGCCCGTCGATTTGGGGCCGGTGCGAGGTGTGTGGATGTGTGTGAGCATGCAATTTGTTTCTGAGTGAATGAAGACAATTCTCTTTTTCGAGCTTACCTGTGTTTGTTGGTTGACTGCAGTTTGCAGCATCCATGGACTTTTGCTGTTCCTGGAGCAGTCGTCGCTCTCTTTTCCATTCCTGAATCTCTTTTACCATTTAATAAAAAAACTGTTAAAATCTAGCACAAGAGACTGTTGTTTTACAAGAATAATAACTAAAACTATCAAATGTGTATATTAAGTTGTTAATGCTGTTCTATACATAATGAATGAATGATTGATTCATTGAAGATGAGTGAATTTCATTAAGTTGTAGGTATTTCTTTAAAACTGTAAGTTCTCTTTGTAAAGCCTTTGTAGGAAGTAGATTTAACCTTTGCACAAATTAATCGCTGATCACAGTGAGCCCTATATACAGTTGTGCTAAATGATGTCTGTATATTTAATTATGACTGTGTAATACATATTGAAATAAATGAGTGGTATTAATATTATTGACATAGCTATTGTCTTCTAGTCATTCATTTATGTTGAAGAATTCGAAGAATTGTGCTTTGTATTCTTATTACATTATTTTGTAAATATTTGTAACTCTTTCACACTGAAATGAGAATATGAAGGGATTTTCTATGCACATTGCAACATTTAAATTAAAAATTATTGTTTTCAATGATGTTACTGGCATTATGGTTATGTATATATTCTGGTAATATGTCACAAAAATAATGTAAATTAATATTGTGCATTTATGAATTATTATTTTCATTGAAATACATTTTGTTCAGAGATACACATTTAGAGCACAAAATATTGAAAATGTACTTTTTTGAAAGTCTTTGTGTGATAATATAGAGTGTTTGTTTATGTAGAATACACATTTTCTCTTTGAATTAGTTTTTTCCTTTGGAAAATTCTTGAATAAAATGTTCTATTCCAACCTGATCCAAAACAAATCAAAAGCTTGTAAGAATAAAAAAAAGTGTGTGTACATTGAAATAAAGATACCCACTTACGATTATTTTGTGTCATTATTATTATCTTTATTAAAAACATGATTTATGCATAATATAAAAACCAAATTATATAAACCAATCATTAAATTCCTTGCTCAAATGTACATTCAACAGAAAAAAACATCACAAAATAATGCCTACTTTACAAGTAGGGATGAACACCGTGAACTCATCACTTTTATGCAGTCATGTATTTAGTCTTTTGCCACTCTTCAGAGATTCATTAACAATTTAAATAAATTGAAACCGTATTATAATATTTTTAATTTATGGTATGATAATTTGTATTGGTTAATTTTTTTAAAAATGTAGGCAAAGTAATATATTTTATATGAATTCATGAATTTACCCAATATTATGAAGAGAAAACATGGTTTTGGCCAACAAAATACTCAGGATTGTTGTTAAACTTAAATGGCATTTTTTATTTAGGTTAGACTTTGGGATTTCAATAAGATAAAAAAAAGTATTTTTTGAATATACATTATAGACAGATCTGTAGAGTTAAGGAATTTGTGTAGGATATTCTTACCATTTGTAATTAATTTTTGTTTCTTTTTCAACTGCTGATAATTGACACAGTTTTATTTAATATCTTTAATGGAGTGTAGATGTCCATAATATCACACCTTTTTCTTCATGTTTTAAAAAAATTATATTGTTTGTGTTCACCCAGCACAACTCAAAAACCTAAAATATTTCTTCTCAATGTAGGTTAAAGTTATCATAAACTAAAATTTTAGTGATTTACACTAATTTGTGAGAATGTTTCAGTTTTTTATATTAATAAGAATACTACATGTGAATGGTTAAATGTTTGTACATAATTCATGCTTGAAAACCATTTTACCAAAAATATTGCATACTTGTGTATCTTACATTATTTGATTGTGATTTGTAATAATTCAAAACAACTTTGTTTATCAAAATTACAGTTAGTGTTATAAATTGCAAGTGCTAATTTTTTTGTGAATTTTTAATTCACTAAAATGAGGAAGGGCCATAAATAAGACACAATAGGAAATAATATTGTTGAAACGGGGACCAAAACGAATTTGCAAGAATTTAATTGGTGTTAAAAATTAATTTCATTTAATTCATGCCAATATATTCTGCATGTAAGTTGTTTTGGTGAACTGTTAAAACATTTGACATATTTCTTCACGCCCAAATCATTAAGCCTATGTTGAAGAAAGAACTAAAACGACACTATTCTACTTAATATTTTATACCTAAATATTATGAAAATTATGAAAATGTATTAATGAAGTTAAGAAAAGTATGTTCATAAATGGAATTAGTTTAAAAAGACCAAATGAAAAGTTTCCTTTTCTTCTGCATATTTACCCATTGATCCCGTACATTAATGTATGCATTCTTCTATATATAAAAGATGTATTTCTCATATTTGCTACTGACAAGAGTATCATTAAGATCAATATTAATCATTACAATCTGTAATAGCAAGCAAAAATTCTATATTTAATTTTTGTCTTGAACTCAATGCAAAAATTAAAATTTGTGAAAGAAAAAGAAAAAAGAAAGAAAGAAAAAATCGATATATGGAAATAATATAATTTTCTTTGTTATTTAAACAATGAATTAAAGAGTGCCAATAGGGAAAAAATTGCTTGAATATAAACATTATGCAGATATGCAGCAGGTAAGATAGATTATTTTATTTTCATTGAAGAAGAAATGTTGGCTGAACATAAATAATGTAATGTCATAAAGTTTGTTATGAAATTGGCCGTACTATGAACAAAAAGGATAAGAAAAAAAGAGAGAGTTCGTAAATGTAGTGATAGAGAAGACGAACTAATTTTTATTGATGTCCAAGAAGGAAATATAAAATGTATTTTGAACTGTATACGATTGGTAGTACTGTAACTCTTCACTTAACTGTTCACACGTTGGTAGACTTGTTAAGAATCGTTCTTCAATTGTTCTCAGATGTTGTTTACAGTGCGTTAGATCAGCGGTGTCGTGAAATCAGTGTCTTTTGATCTTTAGGACGTCGTGTTAAGGAACATTGGGTTTGTCATCGTTGAAGAAACAAGTGTACGATCCTAAGATCGGAAAATGGGAGTTACAGTGTGAGTATTTACTAAATATTGTACCTTTTTAATAGATAACCTCAACTTGGTGTTTGGTGTAGTTTACCAGTTCGTGCTCTTTATTTGCATCTCTTATACATTTTGGTAGTATATATTTGAAATATGATAATACCTCTTTTCTTGTGGTCTACATACATTTACGCATTCGCTATGTGTATGTATTGTGGCCGTGCAACAGGTTTGTGTTTTATACAGTGCTCTAGCATTACTGCTATAATTCCAGGTTGCAGCAGTTCCCCATGGTGGAAAATCGTACCGGTCCACAGACGATTGAGTTTCTGACGAAGAGGGTTGTAGCACTTGGTGCCGTACAAACCGGCCAGTTCCTTGTCGACTGTGAAACGTACATGTCTGTTCCCAATCTCGGTAAGTACTGTAATTCTGTATATTTATTACATTTGGGAATTTAATGCACGTTGTGTTGTTCTGTGATGTACGAAAAGTGTGGTAATTGTGGAAAAAGGTAAATAGGGAGCGTTACATCGAATTTCTAACAGCTGACATTAATGTTATTGAACTTTCTGAACTTGATACTGGCCGATTCATATCGAATGTACTGTTATTTAAGTAGTTAAAACTTTATATATGTAGAATGTGACTTAATATATCTTATAACAGCATAAATTTAAAAACTGAAATTCGTGGTGTGTTCAAATTTGACGGCTGTCATATAGTTCAGTGCCTCGTTCCTAGAGCGCGCGCGCATGCACAAGCCAGAATTGAGTGCCGGTCGTTGAGAAAGTGCTACAATCTGTAGCCGCTAGAGGGCACTTGCTGCCGCTTACTGTGGCGCGGCCTGCTGCTGCAGCAGCGGCGCGCCAGCGGTCGTCTGCGAGGTCCTGGACGGGTCGATGGCCGGCAGCGGTGGAGGCGCCACCTGACGATTAACCCACGGCTGCAGTCGCTTCGGAAGAGGAGGAGGAGGACGAGGAAATCAATCGGCCACGGGGCCGGAGCGGGCGTACAGCTCGGAGGACCGCGGATCGATTCCCCGATACGACCGCGAGCCCGCGACCGCAGCTTCTCTCTCTCTTCGCCGCCGCACCCCCTCCCAGCCCGTTCTCCTGCGGGTCACCGCCCTCCCCCTGCCGGTGGTGCGGCGGCGCGCGCGCGGCGAGGTCATGGACTGGAGGAGCACGTGTGCAGGCCGCTCGGGGCTTCGCGCGAATCCCTTGAGGCGCGGCGGCGCCACTGAAACTAATCAAGTTTGCTGGCGGCATCGCTCGTGCGGCGCACGTGGGGGCGTGTTGTTGCGGGGGCACGTCCGCTGCGCGAGCGCTGCTGCACCTGCGACGCCCGAGGGCTTCGGGGCGGGCAGGGGGGCGTGGCGCCGCTAAGTCGCTTTCCTTGTCGCGTGCCATTATCGCGCCCACGGACATCTTGTCACAATGAAGGACTCCGGGGCTTATCTGTCTTTGAATTATAGCCGTAATTAGCCAGTGCATCTGTTACAATGGACCATTCAGAGAAGTAAATGCCCTTTGGCCCTTCCACTCCTGTTATTACGAGTAAGTGCGTCTTATTGTACACGTTCACGGTGTATTTTGATGTAAATTCAAGATGATATTTGTAGCTCTCTAAATTTCATTTAGGAAACTGATTTAGAATTCTAATCCAGCTATTTCACAGTCGTAATCGTACTGTTATGATGACCGATTTCCTGTCGCATTGATATCACTTGGTGGTAATTGGATTTACGTATAATTCTCTTTATACTGTAAAATTACTTCTGAAGTGTTACCATTTGAAGAATGTCCAATGAAAGTACGAAGTATCGCGTTAGAATAAACGTGCGCAGGGTAAAACAAGAAGGGGAGGCGGTTACGTTCCCATGCCCCTTGGGGCCCAGTTTTCCACGGAATGCTTTTTTGTTTCGCATGACCAGTTTTACTAGGAAGTAAGTTACATGAAATATAATGAAATTACAATTTTAATGATATTAATAAATTCAATCGAATTTACGCTGTTGAACCATTTTTCACAGTTGCCAGAGAGTTTGGAAAGATTGTTCTCAGAAAGTCGTGTATAAATTTCCCAAATTGTGAGCATAAAAGAGATTGATCAAATGAACAGAAATAAAATGTTTTATTACGTGCGATTCCCTTTCTGGGTGCATTTTGAAATTTGTATGTGGTATGGCCCCCCCTGCGCCTTCCCCATGTGCGTATACCTATGTGTGTAACGTTGTGACAAAATTTCGTAGCTTTAAACGAAAACGGTAATGTTAGCGCGTTGTGATCCGTTCTCCGGCGCAGCGCCCGTGTGACTCGTGACTCGGCAGCGCAGCGGGGGTCGCAACGGCAGTCGGCGAGGGGGAGGGGCCAGGGAGGATTTTAATATATTCCGTGTCCGGCCGGCGCTCCCTTTGAGCCCTTTCAGAGGCAGCCGCTGCTGTCGCGATGTTTTATTTCTGTCTTTGGCGTTTGACGCCGAGGCGCCGCCCCGCCCCCTCTCCTCGCCGCCGCGTTCTTTTCGCCCTGGGACGGCGGGCCGCGCCTCCGCCTCCGCGCCCGTTGCGGCTCGTGCGGGGTTGAAAGGGCGCGTGGGCGATTCCAGAAAGAGGGCGATGAACGGAATTGAATGGGCTCGCTGAGAGATGGTTCAAAGCTACGATTTTTTGGCTTTCTCGGTTTGACCTTATCGCGATTCTCTCTGTGCAGTTCTCTTCTCAGTCGGTATTACCGGTTTGCGTTTTGCGGCCGTATGGCAGGGTAATACTCGTACTTAACTGAATGCCGTAGCCCTCCATTGATTTACGTGGGTTCGGTGGGAAGCTCGTGGGGGGTAATTTCAGAAAGAAGGTCATGACTGTAATTGAATAGGGTCTGTGAGAGATAGTCCTAAACCATAAGATTGGGTTTCTCAAGTTCACCTCACCACGATTCCCTCCGAGCAGGTCTATTCTCAGTCACTATTACAGGTTTCGTTTTTTGAGGTGTATGGCTATTTAATACTGATTAAATGCCTTCCCTCAGTTGATTTATAGTGTTTGCCAAACCTTACACGAAGTTTATCTGGAGGCTGCACGAGTGTGTCAAATGATTATCTCTCACTGAGCACTTCAGTTCTTAAGCAGTATTGTTTTAAGCAGTATAGCTTTGTTTACGTCCTGTATATCAATTTTGTTATACGATTTGGTATGTAACCGTCTGAATCAAACCCTTCCCTTACTTTTATTCCACCGTTTTCTTTGAACTACTTGCCAAGACGCAATAATAGAACATTGTTGAGACCTACCGTTTGGTATCGTCAGTTGCTATTAAACGGATGCAGTTGTTACAGACGCAGATAAGAGACTAGAGTTAGTATCAACCCATACTTAAGAATTTGGCATAGTTTGTTGGTGAATCTCGCAACAAGGAACGAAGGAGATAAGGTTGACGGAACAGTATAAAAAGGTCGAACTAAAACTATGCCCCTTCCGTGTGTTGCTATGTTTCGTTCACCAGACAAACGTTCGTTTTCATCTCAATGAAAAAGCAACTTTACAAAAATAACAGTTAAAACATTCTTACTGACTTGTAGATGAGCTATAATAGCAGAACATTTCAGGCATGTGAATTGAGGTGCACGTGAGCTTGTAAACGAGTAGAAGAAGCAATTCTACGCGGCTCGGGTAGGTAGGTGGCGGCCCTAGAAGTTAGGGGCGACCCGAAGTGGAGCGGCCAGGGCGCTAACTTTCCAATTTTGGGTCCAGGGGACAAATCCCAATCGAATAGAATGTGTGTTGGACAAATCGGGCTTGCAACAGGTTTTCTCTGGGTTCTCCCGTTTCCCCTTCCTCCATTTTCACCATTGCGCCATCATCATCACATCAATTAACCATTTTCCATTAAAATTACTTATGTATACTTCTATACTATTTATAAGGGCGCAGTTAGATCGGTTTTGTGTTTGGTTGAATTCCCATTTGGGAGAACTCAGCCATTAACGTTTTAATACACTTACGAGAGCGCAGGCATACTACTCGTGACGAACATGGCCGACATGAAGTGAGCTTTAATTAAGCAGTCAAACTGAGCCATTGAACTCAGGAAATAGGAAGCCACTGAACTCAGAAATAGGAAAATTTGTTTAGTTAGTTTTTTTAACAAAACCCGCTATGGTAAACCTGCCTTTCAGTTCTCCAAAATAATGGCATGACATTTTAGAAGAAATAGATGAAATGGGTGCTAATAGTATCTGCCGAATTTGAACCTAACCTCACTTATGTCAAAAGGAAAATGAAGATTCTTTGACCGATATCTTATGTATTATTAAATATCTCATATTAAATACACCTGTTATGGAGACATGTCGCCTGTACGTAATTATTTGTAGTCTGATGCTGTCCAATGCAGTGTGACCAAGACAGTTCAGCAGAATCAGTTTGTCATTCGCGTCCGAATTATTCCTCGGCCGAACACATATCCACTTTGAACATACTCGTCAGGAACAGGCATTGAAATCACACTACAGAATAAAAAACAACACAGGTCCCAGCGGACGAAACGTATGACTCCTACCATTCGGCCGAATCAGTCACTCATATGCGCCCGTTTTTTTCTTCGGCCGAACACGTATTCTCTTTGGACGTAGCCGCCAGACACAGGCACTGAAATCGCACTACAGAATAAAGAACAACAGAGGTCCCGGAGGACGAAAGGCTGGTGGGGGGAGGGAAGGAGGACTGGTGCGTGAAAGGGTTACGTGGAGAGAGGCGCTCGCTAGAAGCTATTGTAATTTTATTTGTCAATATACGTAATAAATTACAAATGAAAAGAGCAGCGGGCGGCGAGGCCGCTCCACCCAATCCGTATCAAAACAAATACAAAGGGTTGCGCTACGCAGCTACAAAAATACGGGGGCCCGGCGACCCCGCGCCCCCCTTCTCCCTCCCCTGCAGGCCGGGGCCCGCGGTGCCGCACGGGCGGCGGGGCGTGGCTATGTACACAGCATACTCCTCCTGTAAATATACGTACAACCTCTAAAATTTATTCCAAAAATTTGTAATGTTTATTTGTTTTTTTTTTGGTTTTTCCTTTCTTCTTTCGGGAATGCAAAAATTCGTTTGATAAGGGAGGCGGCCGGGCTCGAGTCGTGCCTTGCCGGGCTCGGCCGCGAACCAGAGGCCTTATTTTGACTTATGATTACTTTATGATTATTATACTTATTGTAGTGATTATTGTCAAAACGTGAGTTACGATATGGGAGATGTGTCTAAAACCGTACGTACGCATGTGATGTGTATGTGTTGGCTTGAATATAACAGTGTACAAAAGGTGCTAACGTCTTGAGCACTGATTTTGAAAGCCCGTTGCAGTTCATAGAATATCTCACCAACTTTTAGGATTATCGCTACTGGAATTGTATTTGAAGAGTGTTTTAAATATGTATTTTAATGAATCATTCCATAGTTCTTCTGTCTTTTGAGTACACAGTAACTCGTAACTTTAACACTTTTTGTACACCTTCTACCACAGATGTGTGTTTTCGTGAGCGTGGTGTGTGTGTTTGTGTAGTATGTATGTACGTGTTCGTGTGGAGCATGTGAGCGCGTGTGTAGGTGTGTTAGATGAAAGGCTAAAAAAGAGATCGATAGATGGGAAGGAACTAGCTACGATTATCTCGTGACGTCACTGGAAGCACGCGTGGGTGGACGAGTTATTGTCTTGACGAGTTGCTCGCTCGGGCGCCCTCCCCTCCCCGCCCCTCCCTCGTCGCGTCGACGCGGAAGGCATTTGCAGAAGGCGGAAGGCGATTTCGGCGCCCGGCTGTGGCCCTGGTAACTTTCCCTCCTTTAATTCCCTGGCTCGTGAAGTCGGAGATGTAGTTGAAACTATAATTATGCATTTTATGTACACGTTACGAAAAAAAATGTCGGTATCTCCGAGTGGACCCCGAGCACCGTCTGTGTATCCTCAGTTTGTGTTTTTTGTTATTCCCAGAGGACATAAACGACGCGGAGTTTATTATTATACATACGGTTAAGTACTAAACATTGTCTCTAAAATATGTTTCATCTTCGAACATAGGAATGCGCAAAGCAATACATATGCGTTTCATTAATAATGTTTTTTTTATTACGATTAGTCTACACGCCGTTGTAGTCAGTCGGGATCCCTTGCTCTGCGGCGAGGTGACGGATCTTTCTTTGGACCGGAGAACGATCCGTGCCCGGATCCGATCGTTCCCTGACCCGTTCGCTGATAACCCACCTGACTGACCTTTATACTCATCCTTCGGAAGAAAAAAAAAAGATAAGCTACGACCGCAGGAGAAACTTTTTTACGAGATACAACGCGATTCCGCGGCGTCTATTCTTTTATTGTCTAGCTATCTTTCTCCGTGTGGGTGAGAGTATGCTTACAGAACGGCTCTTCCCTTCGCTCCTCTGGCTGAAAAGAGGATGCTGCCAGCTGGAACCGAGAGAGGACTTTTAGTTAATAACGCAATCCTCGGGATGAGTCGTGGTGGTGGTGGTGGGGGGGGAGGGGCGCAAGGGTGCTCGCGCAGCCCGCTTTCCCCCCAAGGGACTGCGAGCGCCGTTCTACCTCTTTACTTCGCCCCGCCCCACGTCCGACCCGAACCGCTCCTCCCCGCCATCCATGCGATGTTGGCGATTCGTGCGTTGGCCCTTGCCTTCTCCTCTCAGTGCTAGAGCTAAAACCGCCCGGCCCGCCCCGCCCCGCCCCACCCCGCCCCGCCCCCGCCCGCCCACGGCCCGTCCCCGCTTCGCGAATGGCGGCTGGGCTCTCTCCGTGGCGGGGATATGCGAATGTGTGGGTCGACGTTATTGTCTGCCCGCGGATTGCTCCTCCCTATTGTTGCTGCTGGAAGTGCGGGGAGTGATCTGTGTATGTGTGTGGTTTTGAGAGGATTCTTGCGTGTGGGTGGAAGAGTCGTTTTCTTATTGTCAGAACGGAAGCATCTTGTGGAGAACCGTCCCTATCGCCTCGTACACGTCCTTTTCCTATATGCGTTCCTTTCGTGGCCCCAAACAGGCTTTGGCCGACTGCAGCCACGGCTCTGGTTGTGCAATGCAGAAAACACCTCAAAGCGAAGTTCAGAAGAAAGATACTTTTCTGTTTTTAATTCTCAATTGAATTGGACGCCTGCCACTCATTTTGTTACTGATGTTATGTGTTTATCTTTTTCAAGTGATAGAAATTGAGACTTATTTTTCACTTAGTTATATCTTGAAGAGGTAACATTATTTTTCTGAACGCCTAAAGGGAAAGAGAAATGTCATAAACCAAGATGAATGTTTACTAATGAGCAGTTCTTCTTCGTAAATATTTTTCTGAATTGTAATTCTGTTTACATTAATACATTATAAATAGCAGAGACAGCGTGATTTTAAAAATCCAGCATAGATATTAAAGTATTCTCGAAGTGTGGAGGCGGTAGCGACGGTCCTACTTCCCCTTTTCCTTTTTCTCCCCCGGCGGTCGTTCATTCTCGTTTGTACTGCTAGAGTTATACAATATGTTATAGTTTATATATATGCATTATCAAAATAAGTACCTTCCTACCGTTGAAAAAAGTGTGATATAGTATATGAATACAATAAATTGCATGATTATCGTTGGCTTTTTTACGAATTGCCTCACGAGAGAGAGCGAGAGAACGAACGCAAGAAGATGATGTAGAGAAGGAGACTGCCAAGGAGAGTACGAGTAAATAGAGTAGAACGAGAGAATGAAAGTAAAAAGAGAATGAGTGAGGTTAAAAAGAGCGTTGGAGCGCGAGTGCTAGAAAAAGCGTGCGTAGGGATGGCAAACGTTTTCAATTCACCAATATATCGATATTGCTTTATTTTGTAAAAGGTCATGCCGGAATCTATTGCATAAAATTTACCGATTTTATTAGAGGATGCTACAAAAGGGGCAAATAAAGAAATTCAATTAACAGGAAATTCTCAGACGTAAAATAGCGTGATGTCCAAATATCCAGAATTAAAGCCTGGATGGTTGAATCTCCTGTCTTATTAAATTAATGCGAGTTCTGAGGTTAAGATCGAAAAGTGCTTTGACTTTGAATGGATTTCATTGAATTCATTAAAACTCGCTACGTTTTTCGGTATGTGTGAAGAAACCTGCTCGATACTATCAACATATTGGTGTTTTGAAATAGAAATACCGGTAATTTTGGAAAACCGGTATAGCGTTGGCAGCCCCTACGCGTGGGCGGCAGTGCGTGCCGGCCCCGGCGTCGAGCGAAGGCACCTGAAGGCTGCGTTGCAAGAGGCTGGGAGACTTCTGCTGCCGTCGGAGCTGTTGCTCGCGCGCCTCTTCCTCTGAGAGAACCCCCACACCTACCGAACCCGCTTCCCCTCCGCCGACGCTTGGGGGCGGCGTGGCTGGCAGGAGCCCGGGCCGAGGCAACGGTCGGCGAAGCAGGTGGGCCCGATAAGAGTTCTGAGGTACTAGTATTCGAATTATTGTTTGCGAGAATAAACTCTACGGTTATGCCTTTTTATGTCTATTAAAAGTTTGATCCCGTAAGGGTAACGACGATCTCGCATTTTAATTTTGCGACGGTGATAGGAGGGAGGTTATTTTTAAAATGTATGGAATTGAAATTTTGCGTCAGGTATCAAACTTCGTCGCGGTGAGATTTCTTGTTGTGGCCTTTGTAAATTAGTGACATTTAATCATAAACGTACTTTTCTTACCTCCTAGATTGTGTTTTATTATTAAAATTAAAATTAGTCTTCCGTGATATTTCTGCATGAAGAGCAGCTATTCTTACAAGGCAATTTTAAAGAAAATCCTAATTCCGGAAGAGACACATCACAGCACATATGAAAGTCAGAGGTTACCCTCAAAGTATTATTTTCTCTATTTTTTTTTCAAATTGTTCTGATATGTGTGATTTGCTCGAGGGCAGAATGGGTCCTTCTAGAAAGAATTTTTTTCTCTGCTTCTTTTGCGTAAATTATTTCTGATATGTATTATAACTCCCACTAGAGTAGAATTGTACGTTTATGGTTTCTCCTCTATTTCACAAATGCTCGAGTAACAAGAAATCGCAGCGTGACGGGGAGATTTTCTCCCGTGACTCTCCCCCCCCTCGCCCCCCTGCCGCTGTTTCCGCCTCGACGCGAGTCCCCGTCGCCTTGTTCGCAGCTGCCGACAAGCAGTCCGGCGCAAGGCGGCACTCTGCCTTACACGCTCGCGCCAAGATGCAAGTACAAGAAACTGCGTATGGCCTTTTTGATCCTCGTAGAATGTGTCTTTATTGTCTGTCACGCCTCACTTATACCTGTGATTTGGCTTAATGCATTTGTTGGGCTGCAAACGTACTTAAATAAGTCGGCTCTTTTCAAATGCTTTGTAAAATCTATGGGGTAAATTATCACTTACTCCTTTACCCTCAGTGGTTAATTTTAAAACACTGTGGGGAGAGGATGGTAGGTGGTAAAATAGATGGTTTGGGAGAATTTACTTCTGTTTGAGAATATTTTGATACGGTCGAGATTCTCTCGCAGTTTGGAGACATACTTCTTCGTGTACTGCATCTTTTACATAACATTACAATCAGGTTGCGCGCCTTTGGTTGCGACATGGTCAGAAGTGCTTCATGGTCAGTTGTACAGAGCAGTGTTTCTCATCATGCGATGATCTGTGACCCAAGGGAGTTCTTCAGATATGCCCTACATCCCGCAAGAATTCATTCCTAATTGTTATACATTTATTGTCCATTCTAATTGTACATCTGGTTTCTCACATTCTATATATTCGTAGTACACACAATATTACCGAATCAAGATTACCGTTACACGAGTTACAAGCTATTATCTTTTCTGCGTTTGCTACTTCACTCTTTAATTCTACTTCTTTTCTTAAGAAGAGTGGAAGGAGAGCGCGTGAAGAAAGGGAGTGACCTCCGACCTGCTGCTGGGTCACAGCCTCGTGTTTGAGACTCACTGCCTTGCAACCTGTTGTCCCGCGCAATTCACCAACCACGCGCCGGACTGCAATTCCTCCGCGATCTCGTCAGAGTTAGGGATGCTGCTGTCTCTGGGGTTAAAATCCGTCTACGTTTTCCTAAGGTACACTAATGGTATGCTTTTCTACTGTTCAAAGCTTATTGTCTTGTTGAAATATTATCAGATATTATTGTCTCGTTAAAACATTCGTGAGTGTGTTTGTTGATAAAATCGACATGATATGGCCTCTGATATATTGTGTTTCCGGCAGTATTGCCATGCCGCCGTTTAACTACACTTTTGCGTACATGATTAAATTTGTTTCCGATGAGTATATTCATATAATATATCGACGGAGTTTGAGTATTGTCAGTTCGGTTTTTCGCTGGAAGCACCTCGTGATGGAAAGTTTAAAATTCGCCTTGCCTCTCGTGGGACCGGCACGCACAAAATAGAAACATCTTTAACTCTGACGAGACCGTGTCGCTTGAGGGGCACTTTATCCGTCTTAACTACGGCATTCTGTAGCGCTACCGTAAGTCTTAATATACTGGCGCCTCGAGGGCGTCTTGTACGCACGAGAGAGCGTCGTTCTTTTTGGAGCACGTCGACGATCAGGTGTCGCCGCTCATCCACTTTCGGGCGAACGGTCGTTGGGTCTTGAAGCTTTCTGCGATGTAGGAGGTGTCACGTCGCACACTGATAGAAACGCTTGAGATTCAGAGAATACGTATGTTCGGTATGTTTCGTCGCGCCTTCAAGGTATACGTTTTCAAATAAAGTGGCGCCTTTTGTTTCGATTATGCGATGTTGAATTCGATCGCGAATTTACAGAATAAACTGCATGTATTATAGTATTTGAAGCAGTTGAAGAGGTCTTAAAATATTAATATTCGCGGCGAAAATACTACACTAAAAGCTGTTAGTAAAATGTAAGGTAGTATTTGTTTCCTCCTGTTTTAATCCTTCACTATCAAAGGTAAACTTCGTTAGAATTGTTAGGCGTTTTCTCAAATCGTTTTGTCATAAGAGGAGGGTTAAAAGTGAATGACCGTTGCAATATATTAGGTTAAGCAGCTGCGCCTTGCATTGAAGGTAGTATTTTTCTGTTGAATTGATATTGAATTCTTTCTATAGAAAAATGCGTAAAGAACATAAGTATTGTTGCCCTGGAATTCTCAAGCGTTTCATTGCTCACGGGTCCGCGGCGCAGGCGAGCCGCCGAGTCGTCCCGTGGGGGTGCTTGCGGGTGCCCATGCGCCAGCGGTGGGTGCGTGCGCGTGTGTGAGAACGGGCGAGCCCGCGCGCGTTACGCACACCGCTCCACGCCCGGCGCGGCGCCCGTGCCGCAGAATCCCCCGCCCGCGCCGCCCGCGCCGCCCCCGCACCCGGGCAGGCGGAAGCCCGCGGGGGCGGCGGCGGCCGCGGCGGAGGAGCGCGCGGGGCCCGAGGCGCCGGCCAGCTTCGGGTGCAGCTCGTCCAGGTCGCGGCCCTTGGTCTCGGGCACGCACACCACCACGAAGCCCAGGCCGGCCAGCGACACGGCCGCGTACAGCCAGAAGGCGCCGTGCAGCCCCAGCGCCTGCCGGAAGTCCACGAACGTCTTGACGCCCACGAAGGCGCACACGTAGCTGAAGCAGGTGGCGAGCGCGCCGCCCAGCTCGCGGCATTCCAGCGGGAACAGCTCGCCGATCAGCAGCCACGAGATGGGCGAGATGCCCAGCGAGAAGGCCACCGTGAACACCAGCACGCACAGCAGCGGCACCCAGTCGTGCTGCGGGCCCAGCGACGACGTCACCTGCAAGCGCCGGGCACACCTCGTTAAAGCACAAGGAAACAACTTTTCAGTTTTTGAGAGTATTTAAAATGGAAGATACATCTTAATTTGAGGGAGGGGGGTGAATTGGCACAATTTCCATCGCAGAAAATGTTTCAAATAAATTTTAAAAAACGAATAATTAAATGTATTAACTGTGCAGAATAACACATCACAGTGTTTACACAGTCACTTAACCGGGAAATAAATACAGCTCAACGGGACTTTCCAGACTATTCAATTACTGCACACGAATGAAAGGAGAAACATTTTTTCCTGAGCAAGAGGAAATAGTTGCATTTGAATAGATGCTTCGAATTATTTTCATTTATTGTGTGTGTGTGTGTGTGTGTTTCTTTCAATGCCTCGGCTCCGGAAACTTGCCCCGTCGCTCACCCCTGTGATCGTATTCGCAATCGGAATTTTCCAGTTGGGCACCATTTTGGCGTCAAACTAGTTTTTGACTCTCAAATTCGCAATGACTACCAGAGACCTTGGCAAAACAGTCTGTCATTTTACCGTTGCGAGCGAATTCGGGATGTGATGAGGGCGCAAATGACAGAAGAATTTAATTTTCCCGACATATGCCTGGGGTTGTTTTACATGTTTCGAGAGTGACAGTGCATCCTGAGGAATTCCTGCACTTCGAAAATCTACCGTCCTCATTTTATGATGATAGATGTTGCCACAAACTGAGATGGAAAGTAGAAATGCAATTTCTGAAATGATTGAATTATCACTCAATAGTTAATTTTCGTTGACCATGATTTTATTTTTAAATGGTTTATGTTGAAGAACGGTTATTACTGTTACTTTATTTTACTCCAAGCAGTAAAATAAAGTAATTAGTTCACAAAACCATAAAGAATAATCATCGTTTTGGATACAACCATTTTAAAACTCATTCAAGTAGTAATGCCTATTTTTTCGGCATTTTTTATTGGGGTTACACCAGCTGTTGGACCAATTACTGTCTAACGAATGCCTCATTATCATTTAACATGCTCATTGCTGTTGAAATTTAAGGAGATGGGAAAGAATTTCAGTTGGTTATCTTGAGATCAAAGTGCCAGTCATACACTCTCACACATGCATACACCAACATACTAACAAACCTCTCTAAAGTTTCACTCCCTCCTACAAGCCCTTGAATCTGAGCAGTACAACTTTCACCTTGCTTCGTCAGGTGATCTTTTCTTTAGACATTTTCTATAATTATGTTCGTCGAAGAATATAGACGTGAATGTATTATTATATTTTCATAATCATCATAAATAGAAATTAGACGTTATTGCAGTTGATGGATTCCATTATTTTGAATTTCTAAATCAAACCAAATAAAGGTAGAAATATTTTCTTAGCGCAGGCATCTCAAAGAAAGTATTCACTTTGTAGAGAAACTAAATTTATGTCCACAATTACAAATGTCTGTAATTTAATTCCTTAACCTTCCACAAACTTGGCATTTTCCAGCCTGTACTAAGTTTATGTACGTGTACTTTCTACATCCATATACTCACTGGATTCCTTACGCATCATGATTTGAGTTGTTAATTAAAGATCAACGTAAAATTTATTTCATAATGATGCAAAGGAAATAAGTGCATTAACTGTTTCGAACTTCTAAAAATACGTGACAAATCTCCGTGATATACTAGGTGGAAAAAAATACGCCACCATTTACGCTTGATTTATCGTGTGGGTTTTGTGAGCCCTCGCCCCTGGAATCAACGAGCCACCGGGGGCGGCAGCAGCGCACGCGAGTCTGACCCCCGCACGCGATCCATTCCGGTGGATAGCAGTGGCCGGCTCTTTCCGATAAGCCGACGCCTGGAGAAGTGCTTGCAGTCGGGAGAACTAGGACCGTGGACGCACGGACACACTGGCGATCACATCCTCTCTCCTTTTATGTCCGTATTGATTGATTTATTGATTAGTGCTACTGGGCTAAGGTCATTAGTCCCGTAAGTTTTGTGCGTGTTTTTATCACGGATGGTGGTGGTGATATCACCCGCTGGCTAGGGAGATCTGGTGGTAACCTACGATGGTTTGCAGGAATTTTCCTCAACCAGGTATCTCCTAGCGGGGCACGGGATAAGCTCTAAGTTCGCCACTGGTCTCCCGCTAACAGGGATAGTCTAGTTCATGTGAATGTGTGTGTGTGTGTGTGTTAGTAAAGGGTAAAGTAAAGGAAAAAACAAGGAAGAGGAAGGAAAGATTGCGAGCGGTCCGTGGCCCTTTTGTTAGAGAACTCTTCCGGCATTCGCCTGGTGTTGATCGCAGAAATCACGTAAAACTATCGATCCGAGTAGCCAGTCGCTAGAATTCCCCTCCAGACAGCGCCTGAATTTATGTGTGTTTAGAAATAAGTTTTTATCTTGTTCGATGTATAACCATACATTATCTCTTCCAGCATTGAACAACATCGTAACGTGTGATTGGCGTCTAATGCTAAATGCTAAAGAATATTGGGGAACTCACATCGGAGTCGTATGTTACAGAAAGTGCCAGGGTCGTCTGTGAAGCAGAAGCCATCGTTTGTTCTTCCGGCGACACGAGCTTCAGGATTTCAAAGCGCTTACCGAGATTCAGTGACCCCTGCTGAAACACGTTGACCGTTTGTAACCTTATGAAACGATGGGTTCACTGAGTGGTGCTGCGTTCACCAGTCTCGTTAGTTGTGTTTTAGGGGATTGCTCGACCGCGATGCGTGTGCAAAAAGTTGTCTGGTTTAATATTTGCCATTGTCATTTCCAGAAAAATATGAGTAATAATATGTTCACCGTTTCGTAACATAAAAGCAAAATACTCAACTAGGATTCTTAATGGTATGAGTCTTGTTCTTTTCCTTCTTTCGATCATTTAGATGGAACAATATTTATTTACCAATGTGTATTTCTCAATGTTTTTCCGCATACTATCTCTCTTTTCGACAGACGTAAAATCTGTGTGAGTGTAGATTTAAAACGATTGCGTGCAGTACCTTTTTACCTCAAAAAAAGCGGACAGTTTATTCCCTTTGTTTCCCCCTGCATGGAGGAACACTTATATCTTCACTGCATTGTAGATGCGAATTTTTAATCGATTGTGCTGTTTATTAAATGCGTCTCAGTTACTGAATGGATTCGTAATGATGAACAAATGTACTGTTATTACATGTGACCAAAATGGAGTGTGGTAGTCACTTCTCTGGTATCGGGCCTTCCCGAGAATGTCTGTATTCTTGACGTACGCGCAGAGGATGAGGTCAAGAGTGAGTATGCATTTGGTTTGTAAATTCTCATCTAAATTGTTGGTTCAGTTCTTTAGCAAGACTGGGTGTGATGCCGATGTCTTGTAGAAAGTTGCTTTGGGAAAATCACTACCGCGTTTTTAGTCACAATTATTATTATTATTATTATTATTATTATTATTATTATTATTATTAAATACGTTTGAAGACGACGCCGTGTTGGCATTACTAATGGTTTGATATTTTACCTATGGAGCTGCTTAAATTAAGCTGTCAACTAAGCCGTCTAATCTGAACGGCTCCCCTTGGACTTTCCTGCTCCCCACAGAGATGTCGATTACTGGCGTAGAACCGAGTCCGCGTCCGGAAACAAGCCATCACCGCGAACAATTCCTTAGCGCGGACGCCAGCCACGCCGCGACGCGTCAACCGCTTGCTTGTGCCGCGGGGGCGCGGCGCGGCGCGGCGCTAACGATTAAATACCCATCGTAGAGGGCGGGGGCGGCAGCGGCGACGTCGCACAGTGGACGGAATAGGCCCCGAACGTGGGCACGATACGCCCCGAGAACGGCTATTAAAAAAAATCGCTGTTTGGCGGCGTACGATTATTTTTCTCTCTTTGTACGAAGTAAGGGCGAGAAAGTAAAAATGAATCTGTTGTTTGGAGAAGGTCACGCCAATTAAAAACGCGTGTGTTGTTGGAAAACTACGACTTTCGAGAAGTGGTCTCTCAATTAGTTAAACTGAGGAATACGCTTGAAAAGGAGATATGTGGTGTTTCGATATGGAACAAATCTAAAACCATATAGTAGTGAATCCAAAGGTAAGTTTAAATCATTTAAAGTTTTTGTTTGCAATAAAATCAAACTTAACACTAGTAAAAAATGCGGCCTTTTCCCCTCTCCGTGTAAAATAAACCCAACTAGTTGGTATTGTCAAAGGGATAGGTTGGGGCCAGCCAGTCTGAATTGAAGTATTTTCATTTTTTCCTCATTTTATATCATGATAATTAATTTTTCCGAATGCCTTCTTTGGCTTTTCAAATCGGGCAATAAACCTTATTAAAGGAAAACAAGTTATAATTTTGGAAGTCTGTGGTTGTGTGTAACCGGACTGTCTGAAATTTTATTTTCATATTCCCTACGAGAATTGGCTATTCGAAATTCGAGATTTTTCAGGGGACATTCAAAACTTCATAACGTAGTCGTGCATACTAATGTATTTTTTCCCGCCTTATATCTTTTAATATGTATTTGGCACTTGTCGAAAGGAAATGTCCCAGCAGACAGCGCAAGATGTAGGACATAATTTAGTGAAAGTCACAAAATGGAATTTTTGAGTTGTTTCGTTCCTGTAAAAAATCCCTCAATTGTGTTAAGAAAATGGGTTTGGCATATCCTTGTGTTTCGTGCTCAGTGTGAGTGGTGAGGGTGGGGTTACCGCCGGAGACTTTTTATACAGTTGTATAAAAATGATATTTATTAATAGTCGTTTTGAAAAAGTCCTTGGCTTATCCCTCCGTTTCGGCCCTTTCGGGCCCAGTGTGCGTGGCGGGGAGGGGCGGCGGAGCGAGCGAGCAAGCGCGCGCGCGCGCGCATCGAATTCCGATAGCGGCTGCGGCGGCGGCGGCGGGCGGGCGCGCGCGCGCGTCCGCGTCCGCATCCACCACGTCGTCCTCCGACCTCTGTCCTCCGTCCGCGCCGCCCTCGTCCCTCCCTGCCCCCGCCGGCCTCTTCCGACGAGTCCCGGCCCTCGGCGTTCCCTGTTGCGGCTGGCTCTTCCGTCTTGGCGCTCGCGAGCTGATTTCGTGTTGTGCAGCAGCGGACTGCTGAGCTGGATTATGTCGGCTGCTTTCGCTGTCTTATTCAGTTGGCGTAGATCGTAATGAGTCGTGGCTGGTATCTACTAGCTGATTATTCGGCGTTGCTGGTGGTGTTTGTTATCACAGTCATCATTTGATGGGGTCGGGGGAACATAGTTCTAAGCCACATGACTATCATTTTTGTTAGTTAGAAGGAAAACTAAGTTTTATTTAGAGTCATGTCTTCTATATATTTCTGGCTTCTTTCATACTGCTGACGTGTCTTTCTAAGACCTTTGGTATGGGTTTGGGATATAAGGGTTAGTACTATCTTCTCCCGACCCCTTTAGTTGGGTAGCCCTGCACGTCCCACCACGCTACTTTCAAATAGGTCTTTCTGGTCCGCCCCACCCAGCAGTTTGTTTCCTTGGATCTTAGGATTATCGTTGCTACGGCAGTTGTCAGGCGTTGATGAATTAAAGTGCAGTGTTGCACAATCGAATTCAAATTTTAGCTGTCAGCCCCTTCCCACCGTCCTGTACGGGAGGAAGGTCTTATTCCTACGCCCATATTATGGACGAATATAGCCATGCACACCCACATGTATATATTTTTTATATGTAAAGACGATTATATCATTCCTTTCTACATAAATCATTATTCTCCTTCCCTTGTGATGCCTTGTTCGATTCTGGGATAATCCTCGATATGCGTCTACCGTTTCATACTTTTTTTTTGTATTCTTCACTCCAACTGCATCTGTTATTTATCCCGTATTTGGTTCTCAACCACTGAGCAATTCGTCTCATTTCGCATTCATCGTCTTCTATCTATCCGCAATCCTGCTTTTTCGCGCTCCATCTTCAGTGCTGTTGGCGCCACACGTGTTGTGTTTGCTGGGCGAAAAACAGCTCCGGAAAATTTCGCGTCTTGTGTGCAAACAGCGTTTATTTGTATTTGGGCGGCAGCGGCGGCGTGCAGTTGAGCTCGCGCGGGCCGCGCTGTCCGATTGCCGATTCGAAAATAAAAGCGGTCCGCCAGGCCGGCGGCGGCAACGGCGGCGACCGGAATATTGCGATTAAAAAAAGATTCCGCCATATTGATTTATGCGTCGCCGCACCGCGGCCGGCCGGCCCCCATTGCTTCCCCTCTTTTTGCGGTTTTGCGGCCGGGGGCGTCGGCGTAAAAACTTTCTCAGCCCCGAGAGCCGACGAGAATGGCTCGGTTAGACGTCAGGAATTTCGGCGCTTTTCGTGCGTTTTTAAATATTTTTTAAAATTTTTAATGAGTATATGAATTTGGGCGGGATCGACTTAATGTTTTTTGTTTCGTGATTGTTATTCCGTGATTGATTCAATTACAGGAATATGTGGCGTTTGAATCAGTACTAAGATAAATGTTATTGGATGATATATTAGTTAAACTGTGAATCTTTGAATCGCATAAGCCTCGAGGTTGAATAGTTTACTCCTCATGAGTGACGTGGTTTCCTCAAGTAGAAAGAAAAAAAACTATTTGTAACATTTTTGTAGATTGCTGTGCATACTATAACTCGTAAAAACAATTGCGTGAAAATTACACAAATAAAGCAATTTCAGTTTCCCTGATTTTACCGAATATTCTTGATATGATTCTTGTTCCTTGGGTTCAAGAAAAATATGAGGTTTCTCTGATCCTGAATAATAAAGTATTATCGTAACGATGATGATAAAGCAGATCATCGATTATCTATATGCTCGGAATTTTCTGATTTTATCGACTCATTATTGCGGTATAGATTATTGAATTTTTCATTTGACTTATCGATAGTGTAAAATAGACAAATTAAATAAAGTAAAGCAGGGCTTTGTGAATCCAGATAGAAGCAACACATAAACAAGCTCTATTCGTGATTTGAATGAATGAATTTATTGCATATCACAATCTAGAGTGAGAATGGTGTGTTCTTATGGCTGCCACTGTAATCACTCAGAGTAAAACAGTGAGAAACGAACCGTACTATTCGATCAGTTCTGACGTCGCTTTCTACCCTAGCGGCGCGTGGAATGGGGCAATCCCTAGATGCGG